GAGATGACGATATATGCTTTATATCAATAACAGATTGAGGCCTAACGTCGTTAGAAATAATGGCCGATGATGATAGCGAACGCGAAGGGAGGCTCTGGCGATTTTTGTGAATGCGAGTTGCAGTATCTGACGTATTCATAGAACAACGTCTATTATGTGAGTTATTAAATGCATTCTGCCAATTTTCATCGGCATCTATAATATAATATTTGACGCCAACTGGCAATTCATAAGGGTTATATTCTGGTTGCTATAAGAAATAATATAAGTTGATTAATTTCAATATTATTACAGCAGATAATCAAGTTAAAATTAATTGACAACAAACCGCGATATGATCTGAAATTTTTATAATTCGGCCAATAATATAATCTTTATTTTTGCTTGCGTCCGTAACGCGTAAAAAGTAATAGGGGCAATTATGATTAAAGGCCGCATATGTTTTTAAAGGTGATGACCTAGTAGGTAAGAAAAGCGCAACATCATCGATTTTGAAACTACAAATTAAAAGATAATTTAGTATATATCATTAATTGGCATATCATAGTATGTACTGTTTTACTTACTTTTGAAATGCAATCTTATCTCTTGATTCTTGGCTAACTTTCTGGTATTTTTCTAATAAAATAAATTATTAAATATCAATTCAATTTTCAATTTTGAGTTCTAAAATTATAATCGTATTTACCCCTGTTTGATTTACTATCTTCGCGATGTTGTTTGGCCAAACCTTTAGCTTCTTTAAGCGTTCGCACTATTAAATCCCGTACTTCATCTAATTTTACTTTCATTGTCAATGAAAGTAAAGTTTCGTATTTATCTTTTGGCCAAACACTTTGTTCATCAGAACTGTCGTTAAGGAAAAACTTGCTCAAGTCTTCCCTGTCTGACACTCCTATTTTCTTGTCATCATCCTGTGGCATGGATATTACACTCATTGCATAATTATCAGCCAATGTTGGTATATTTAATTTCATAGTTTTCATTAATTTTCGAAGGTTACTGTAATATTCCCATAAAGATTTACTCAATCCTTTAGAAAATTCCGTTCGTTCTTCCAACATTCGACGCAAATCATTAAGTGAATGCTCCAAGTTTGTGTTCAAAGTTGATGATTTATCTAATGACTGTTAATATATATTATTTTGAAAATTTAAGTAAAGAAATAAACTACATATAAACGTAAAATAAATAATTTGCATATAGATTTACAATTTACCTGACTTGTTTCACGCAATTTTTGATCTAGATATTTTGCAACGTCTCCCACCTTTCGTATCATTATTATAGGATCGAGATTATCATCTGATTCCGTCTTTTCAGACAATAGATAGAAAAGATGTTTGCAATTATAAAGCAGTAGATCGATTTTCAATTATATTACGTGGATTACATACCTGTTCTGAATTAGAAGAAACTTTATTGGACGTAACAATATGCATATATTCATTAACTGTTTCGGAGATGCCTTTAATTAATTTTTCCGCCTATTAAAGGAAAAAAAGGTAAATATGACAATATTTGCTTGCAGATGAATATAACAAAATTGCTGTATTAACATACTGCGGTAAGAGCCTTAGTGCGTTCGTTATAATCCTGCTCTACAAACTTAACCCTTTCTCGTGACTAGATAATTAAAAAGACAAATACTATAGATTATATAAAAGGAATAAAACAAAACTAAGTCCATAAAGATACAATACCTTGGCGAGATCTTGTTCCAAATCTTCTCGAGCAGAATTCATCTTTTCTAGATTTAGTTTCCAATCTTCAATTTCTTGTTTCAAACCTTCAATTTCTTGAAGCATCTATAAAGTTAACATAGTTTAAAGTTATCGAACAACCTTGCATATGAGAAACTTTAATATGTGAGAATTGAAACAAACATTTTGTTTATCAGTTTCCGATCTTTCATCAGATTGCTTCAGCAGTTGATCAAGTTCTTGCTTGTGCAATCTCTCTCTCTCTTCATTCTAAAATCAAAATTGTTTGTTATTGTATTTACTGATAGCAATGATTATAAAGAAATATGATCATGCACAAACCTGCTTCTGAATGTCTTCTAACTGACTTTTTAATTTATTATTTTCAGCTAAAGTGTTATTAACCTTAGAATCCAACGTAAGAGTTTCTGCTTCTACAGCATCTTTTTCTTTTTTGACAAGTTCATTATCGGCTTTCAATATTTCTAATTTCTTCTCTAAGTCTGCTTCTACAGCATCTTTTTCTTTTTTGATAAGTTCATTATCGGCTTTCAATATTTCTAATTTCTTATCTAAGTCTGCTTCTACAGCATCTTTTTCTTTTTTGATAAGTTCGTTATCGGCTTTCAACACTTCTACTTTCTTCTCTAAGTCTGCTTCTACAGTATCTTTTTCTTTTTTGATAAGTTCATTATCGGCTTTCAATATTTCTAATTCTTTCTCTAAGTCTGCATTTTTTTTATTTGATTCATGCAAAAGCGATTCTAATTCCTGAATCTTACTATCATATTTATCGCAAAGCGTTTTTTTTTCGGATCTTTCGTCAAGTAATGCTTTATTTAATTCATTAACATGATTCTGAAGCTCTTCCAATTGATTACTTTTTTCATTATGTGACTTTTTCAACTGTAGATGAAGCATTTCTAATTCAGCTTTATTATTTAGTTCAGAATTGTATATAGATTCAAGTTCATTATAACGTAAGCGTAAGTCAGATAATTCTTGCTCAATAGCTGAAATGGAAAACTTTGAATCTGGTTTATGTGTGTCGGCGAGCACTGTAGAATTTTTGGTCGATTGATAATTAGTGTGTAACAAATCTTCGAGTTTTTTAATTCTAGCTTCATATTTCTATTGGAAATTTGTATTCAAAATTAGTTAACGTATAAGTTTCAAATTTTTGAAGTATCTAAAATGAAGAACCTTAATCGTTTCTTTTGACCTATCCAATTCTTTAATCGTTTCAAGGAGTATACGATCAGTAGTACTGTCAGCTGTCGAACCACTATCCTCAGAAAAACTTTGTCGAGATGTACGAGATGCCCGCCGACCCATTTGCGGTGATGGTGGCGCGAGAGACCGACCTAAATACATATATCAATTGAAAAAGTTGAAGGAAAAAAAAAGTATCATTATATGATGTCTCACACACCTTCGAAGATCGAAACTGGACGAGACAACGTTTGATTATTTTTATCAATGTCAAGCCGTTCCAAATGGACTAATTTGGACGTGATTGAAACATATACATGTATATAAAGAATTAATTTTATGAAATAAATATTATATAATGTTTAAACTTTTGATGTTAAACAACCACTTACAAATCTTCTCTACGATTTTATCGAATTCTACGTCCATCCTTTCTATTTGGCCATATGATCTGGCCGATTTTGATTGCAAAGACGATAAAATATCGATAACAGTTTGCTGGATTGTTTGTTGATCTCGTGTTTTAAATAAGGAAGAAGCAGCGATTTGTGATTTAAATAGTGATGCTTGAGACAAAATTACAGGACGAATCTTTTCAATTAAGTCAAAAAAGGCTTTAACATCGGCTTTTGAAAAGGATGGTAGCCGATCATCTCTGAGATTCAAAGTAGAAACCTCACACATTGGAGGATTATCATCCAAAGCTGAAATGTTCAAGGGAACATAACTTTTAACGTCCAAGCGATAATTATCACGTCTTTTTTGCTCTAAATTTCGGAAATTGGCCATAGCTTCTGCCAATTGTTGGGCTTTAGAGAGAAATAACTGGAACATTATCGAAACAAAGACATTATGATATTTGTGCAAAGTAAACACGTTTTCGCAAAATCAAGCAATAAATAAATACTTTAGTATATTCGCTTCGTCTCAAAATTTCGATTAATGTCATGGCCTAATAGCGTAATATAAATAATTAAAAAATTGAAGAATGTAGAAAATGTCTAACATTTCAATATGATAGCATATATACATAGGCAAGAGGCATTTGACGTATGCTAGATAACTTTTTAAATTCTTGAGCCTTTAATTTAATCTCAGATTCAAGAGAACTCAAAGTGCCCGGGATACCGGCAATAGTTGACTCAAAGTAAGATATTTGCTGTAGACTAGAAATCATCGTTGATGTCATAGCATTCTGTGCAAATTTTTAAATTAAGAGCAATCACTTAGTTTACATAAAATATACAGTTAACTAATAGTATAAGGTATATGATAACACACCTTGCATTTTACAAAAAATACTACTTGCTCACGTAACCATTCATCTAATCGTTGCATATCTACGGTATTATGCCAACGTGAATTAATAATAACTAGCATGCATTACAAATGCAGATAATCAAATGCACCATTTACCAGGCAAATATTCCTTGGCATGATATTCAGCAAGAGCTTCGAAAGTGCTTATTGATTGTGATGATAAGGATCTAGCA